GGCGGGCGATCGGGCTTGTGAAAGCTTGCCACCGAGCGGACCCTCACGAATGGAATCATGAGGAGAGAGATGCAAGGAGGGAATGAAAACAGGGAGAAGTCCCACGCAGAGCCTATTGCAGCCAATGGCGATGTATCAATAGCCATCTCCACAAAACTTTTATATGCGCCGCCCGTGCCTGCAGCCATCAGCAGATCGAGGATATTACCCCCAACCGGCAGCCCCCCCCCCCTCCCGGCCATATTATCAGCCGCACATTCAGTTTTGCTTTCTGCCATTTGGCTCGATTGGCGTCGTTAATCCGAGCGCCGCTCTGGCCGGCGACGCCGTTTTTACGCCCGTCCGACGTGAAGTTGGGCCGCGTCCCGAGCAGCCGGAGGGACCGGCGCGGCCACTGCAGGTCTGGAGTGAGTCCGGACTTGCCGCCAAAGAAGCAGGAGTAACACCTTGAAGGTCAGGTTACCGGGGTTATGCAAGGTCACTGGAGGGCCGGTGTTGCCATGTAGACCTGGACAAGTTAACTTTGCATGCGCGGCTGGACTTCCTCGAGACAAGAGTCGGCGGTGTTGTGTTGCCGGTTATCAACATCCTGATGGACACGACAAGAAGTCTGGCGCTGCCAAATAATCTGCGGCTGAGCACGGGTTGTGAAGGCTTGGATTATGGCCATTTGCCCGCTCGTTTATCGCCGCCGTAACTCCTGGCGATTCTTCTGGCGGGAACCTGAAGCGCGTTGGCGCTCGCTCGCCTCCCCGCCGCGCCGCCGGCCGTCTGCCTCCTCGTCCTTTCTCGAGGGCTCCGCATATCCTGCTGTTGGCGTCAAAGACAAAGTCGAATGCTTGTATTCGACCCGGACATAATCCTTGTAAATGGCCGACAGGGAAAAATGGCGCCAGCCGGAGAAATGGTCGCGGCAAATGGGAGCGCGTGCTAATAAAACCCGGCCGGCCTTTGTGGCCGCCCCGACACGACTTATTTAGGGCCTTTGTGAGCGTGCGCGCGCATTATCATTACTAATTCTTAGTTGGGGTTAGACAGCACGGAATCCCGCCGGAGACGGTATTGTCGGGCCTGCGGAGGAGGTGCGGGGCAGGGCCTGGGGGGGGGGGGGCATATTCTCAATGTACCATCGTGGGTTGGACGTCGAGGCACAAAAAGTGGGTCATCCCGCGGCCGGGCTGAAGGTGTCGTCGGGGCGGGCGGCGGCGAGGCACTGGGGGTGCTGTGGCCAGGCGATGGGCGGGTTGTGGCAGATGAGGCTGTTGCTGACACCCGGATGCGCCCGAAGGAGACAGACGAACGAGCGAGGAACAAGATCGTTGACGATAAGCCGATTCACAAAAGCAAAAGACCGTAATATATAGGATTTTTTTCTTCGTAAGTCCTTCTAAACTGAAAGTAATAGATGTCTCCAAGTGATATTTTTAACCCGACGAATATCAGACGAAGGCGAGGGAAGCGCGAGGGCGGCCGAGCGGAGCAAGGAAGAAGCAAATGCCATGGAGGGAAATGCTGGTGTGGGCGAGGTGGATCCGAAGGAGGAGGGCGAGCGGGATGAGTACGCCCTGCGTGGGTGGCGATCGGGATGCGGGCGGGAAGAAGGGACGGCTAGGGTGTGGGCGTGAGAGACGGGCGGGGTTGTGGGCGTGAGAAGAAAGCAGTGCGGGAGATCACCGCCTGGCAAGGACCCGTTAAGCCGTCGTGGGCGTCGGTCTGCACGTAGCGGCCTGCCCCTCCCCGTTCCCTCCCGTACCTGAAGCCGCGCTGCACGGAGGAGAAAAATCTGATCGATTACTCATCTGGAGCACATTGCTTCACGCTGCAGGGCGCCCACTTCGACGGCGAGAGCGACGAGCCCGACGGAGGCGCGGGCGGTGCTGGCAAGGGGCGGGAAAGCTCGAAGAGGGAAAGCAACGGCGCAGGAACGAGAGAGAACTTACAGAAACAACGTCAGATGACCAAAGAAAGCGAGACAAGCTGGTAGGCAAAAAAAAAAACAGACAGTTAGACAGTCATTCAGTCGGGCCGATAGACAAATAGACAATGAGCCAAGAGACGAAAGAAAGCGTTAAGTAAGAATGAATCCATTGCAGAACGAAATGGTTACCCGATTCATCCTTTCATCTAGACGTAATCCAAAGGAGAAAAAATGAGGTCGACCGGGTCAGTAATTCAATAAAAAAGAAAAAAAGAATGAGAAAGAGAAAGAGAAAAACAGAGAAAGGAGAGGAGGGGGAGGGAGAGAGGGAGAGGGAAAGAGAGACAGAGAGAAACAGAGAGAGAGAGAGAGAGAGAGAGAGAGAGAGAGAGAGAGAGAGAGAGAGAGAGAGAGAGAGAGAGAGAGAGAGAGAGAGAGAGAGAGAGAGAGAGAGAGAGAGAGAGAGAGAGAGACACCACACACACACACAAACACACACACACACGACGAAAAAAAAAGTTTTCCACTCCTCTCCCTATCTTTCCACCACTCAACCCTCTCAAACAACCCAAGAGCACCAACCTGCACTCGGCTCTCTGGAAGATTAATCTTGAGAGCGACTTCCTCCCGCATGAAGATGTCAGGGTAGCGGGTCTTGGCGAAGAGCGACTCCAGGACGTCGAGCTGAGCCTTGGTGAAGGTGGTCTCTCCCGCCGCTGCTTCCTCGGGTTGGTGGCTGTGGTGGGGAGCGGAAAGGGCGGGTTAGTGGGCGCGGGTCGTGACCTGGGGAGACTCGGGCGCAAAGAGTTGAAATCAATGTGAGATAGATAGGTGGGGAGGTAGATAGATAGCGAGGGAGGGAGGGCGAGAGAAAGGGGGTGAATGGGAGGGAGAAGAAGACAGAGAGGGGGGGGGGGGAGGGGGGGGGGGGGGAGGGGGAAGAGAGGGGGAAAGAGAAGGAGAGGGGAGAGAGAGAGAGAGAGAGAGAGAGAGAGAGAGAGAGAGAGAGAGAGAGAGAGAGAGAGAGAGAGAGAGAGAGAGAGAGAGAGAGAGAGAGAGAGAGAGAGAGAGAGAGAGAGAGAGAGAGAGAGAGAGAGAGAGTAGAGAGAGAAAGGAAGAGAAGAAGGAAGAAGAAAAAAAGAAAAAGAAGATGAAGAATAAACAGGCGAGGAGAAACCATAATGAATAAAACAAAATCTCGAACAAATGCTCGATTAATTTATGAAATTCAGCCCGTTAACAATAATAATAGTTATAGCAACAAAATTAATGATAACAAAATTTTAATAGTATAATAATAATAATATAATAATAAAATAATGTGATGACAATAAAAATAATAAATATAATAATAATATATAATAAAAACATAATGGTAATAATGATAATAATAAATAATGAAATAATAATAATAATAATAATAATAATAATAATAATGATAATAATAATAATGATGATAATAATAACAACAACAACAATAAATAAATATAATTATAATAATAATAATAATAATAATAAATAATAATAATAATAATAATAATAATTATAATAATAATGATAATGACGATAATAATGATGGTAACGATAACAATAACAACAGCATTAATAATAACAATAATAAAACAAATGGCAGAAATATAGATTGCAAAATGATGACATCCAAATGACAAAAAAAAGTACAAAACAAACAAACATGAAAAACGAAGCAAAAACAATACAAAACCATGAAGAGGAATGTTAAGGAGAAGAAAAAAAAAGGAAAGAGAGAGAGAAAAAGAAAATAATCCGAAGTTTTAAAATGACTATAAGAAAGAAAGCAAAAAAAGTAAAAAAAAACAAACAAAAAATGGAGAGAAAATAACGAGAACCCTTTTCAAACCGCGACAAAAACAAAGAAACAAACAGACAAAAAAGTCCTCACTAGTCAGACCATTAGAAAAAGAAAAATATTTTTTAACATAAAATCTTTCATAATATCTTCCATATTTTAAATAATATCTTTAATATCTTTAATAATAAAAACGAAACAAGATGGAATACTTGACAATAGCACGAACAGGATCCATGAAAATAATGATAATAATGATAGTGATAAAAGTAACGAAAGAAAAACCGTAATGATAAATAACATAAAATATCATAATAATAACAATACTAATGATAACGAGAGAAACAGTGAGTATAACAAACACAACAAAACAATAATAATCTTAATAATGATTATCCTAACCCGACGGCGATGAGACAACACAAAGTCCATCAAAACAACAAAAGTAATAACTCCCTTTGTCGATAATGGTGATGATGATGATGGTGATGAAGATGGTGAGAATAATACTGATGATGGTCGTAATGATGATGAGGATAATGATAATGATGGTGATTAACAGACAGATATATATAGAGATTAATAGATAGACAGATGGACAGACTATGATAGATAAATAGATAAATATATAGATAAATGCAGAGAGAGAAAGAGAGAGAGAGAGAGAGAGAGAGAGAGAGAGAGAGAGAGAGAGAGAGAGAGAGAGAGAGAGAGAGAGAGAGAGAGAGAGAGAGAGCAGAGAGAGAGAGAGAGAGAAGAGAGAGGTGTGTGTGTGTGTGTGTGGTGTAGTGTGTTTGAGAGAGTGTGTGTGTGTGAGTGTGTGTGTGTGTGTGTGTGTGTGGTGTGTGGTGTGGTGTGTGAGTGTGTGTGTGTTGAGAGAGAGAGAGAGAGAGAGAGAGAGAGAGAGAGAGAGAGAGAGAGAGAGAGAGAGAGAGAGAGAGAGAGAGAGAGAGAGAGAGAGAGAGAGAGGGAGAGAGAGAGAGAGAGAGGGAGAGAGAGAGAGGAGAGAGAGAGAGAGAGAGAGAGAGAGAGAGAGAGAGAGAGAGAGAGAGAGAGAGAGAGAGAGAGAGAGAGAGAGAGAGAGAGAGAGAGTAGAGAGAGAGAGAGAGAGAGAGAGAGAGAGAGAGAGGAGAGAGAGAGAGAGAGAGAGAGAGAGAGAGAGAGAGAGAGAGAGAGAGAGAGAGAGAGAGAGAGAGAGAGAGAGAGAGAGAGAGAGGAGAGAGAGAGAGAGAGAGAGAGAGAGAGAGAGAGAGA